GCACAACTAAGTGTTCTGCAATTTCCATTCTTACTAATAGTACTACAGTAATTAATTCAATATGACTGGTTTATCTAGTCATAGTCTTTGCTACTCCCACCAAATGACATTTTTTTCTGAGAGGTTCCGGTAAGAAAATTAGAGAGATACTAATAGGATTATATGATTTAGCTATGAGTGATTGATAAAATGATCAAATATGATTGGCAGTGTACTGGGTATAAAATGAATCAAATCAGAACCAGGAAGTGGGGAATCTTATTTGTAGAAAGATGGAAGAGCCAGGTAGGGAGTTTGTTCTTTGAACCTTGATATCCTTGCTCATTGAACTTCTTTAATCCAGCAGACGGTTTGACCCCGGAGGACTGGCAGTTCGAAGGCAGCAGCAGAATCAAGAACCAGGTCATGAGAGAAATAGTAGGCTTTCCAGACCTCAGAGCAAGTAAGCACTAAGTTCCTTTGGCAGAAAGCTGCCTTGTAGTGTGTGTGTGTGGGGGGGGTGAGCTCCAGACATTTAATTAGAGAAGTTAGGTTTGGTGACTCATAAAATTAGATTGGATTTCCTCTGGCTCAGGCTTATAGTGGAGTGGCATGCCCTTTAGGTATTTATTGGCAGTCTAAAAGAGCTTTGTAACATTATGCACAGCAGGACCTAGATCAATGGATCATGTGGCTGGAAGGTCAAAGGCTAGAGACAGGCTTGCCTGTGGGCATAACTACAAAGGGGCTTCTCTGTTTGCCTAATTGTATCTTGCGTATGTATAATTGCATCCTGAGTATGTATAACCTCCTTATTAAAGCTTAAAATTGTGAGTAGTATCTATAAATTCTGTGTAACCATTGCAATGAATTATCAGACAAAACTGTGAAAGGGACATTTGGTGTCAGAACTGTGTGGAAGTTTGCAGAGTGGAGGCTTGGTTGATGATGATTTGGAGTTTGATTTCCTTTCTTCCTTGCATAGCTGGAGGAGATCAGATGCCATGCCCACATCATCATTATATATTATGCTAATGATATCCTTAGCTTGTTATGATCCACATAGTTGAATACCTTTGCATAATAAATAAAACTCAAGTATATATATTCAAGTATTCCCTGTTGTCAGCCAGGATGCATCTGCCATCAGCTATGATTTCGCTTACATGCTTCCCCATCCTCCTCTGCGCCAGGATTACATTTCCTATAGCTCCATTTTAAAGTAGTGTTGCAACTGTTTTTTAGTTATCTTCAGCATTTTTACTTATATGTAATATTAATGATATTGTTCAACAATTTTTATAATATGATAGGCCACCTTTTATTGTAATAGGTACAAATATGGATCTCTTTTCAGTCAATTTGCCTGTTAGCTGTCTTCCTAGTTTTATGGCATTCACCAGTAAGTGCTTCTAGTGCTTTCTTAGCTTGTTGAAACATTTCAACTGGTATTCTGTTAATTCCCTGAGCCTTGATTTTCAAGAGTGTTGTGTTAGTGTTCTCCAGAGAAATAAAACCAGGGCACTTATGATTTTTTATATATATATATCAGGACACTTATGATACACCTGGTTTATATATAAACATATATATATATAAACATATATATATATGGAATATAACAGCTAATTAGTCCACACAGTAGCACAGAGGGCTCAGTGCAACTCACGTTTGTGGAACAGTTAATATACTGAAGGTCTCTCAACTCACATGGGCTATTGTTCCAAGATCAAGGAAGCAGAGAGCAGAATCTGCCCTTAGGCATGACAAGTAGAGTCTGCCTCCAGGCAGCTGGCAGCAGGGTGGGGCAGCAATGGTTAGTAGCATGGGACCTTATCGAATCAGGTCCAGCAATGTAACCACTGCAACAGGATCTACCAGCAGCTTGGGGAAGCAGGTATGAAGAAGCTTCCAGCTCTAGGGATGCATGGCAAAGCGATACAATCCAAGGGTTGGCAAAGGATGGGCTCCATTAGCAGCACCCTTGTCCACTCACCAAGGAGAAAGAGAGACTGGAGGCCAGTCTTGGAAAGCTTTAATCTTGGTTGCCCTCCAATCAAGCTTTGACCTGATTAAACTCCACCCACATGTTTCTAAGGAGGCCTAGTTGGCACAATAAACCTCACTACCTCGCAAATGCTTCCAGGGTAGTTTGACCTTTTAACACCATTGATTCTTGATCAAAAACTCCCTCCAAATATGGACCAATTATTTATGGAATCAAAACTCTGTGCATTCTTTCCATGTTCGTTTGATGCTTACTGAGCCAGTTAATATTTTGCCTATTTGATGTTGGTTTTATATTTCCTCCCAAGTTTCAGCCTGAGAATGCTGTGAGAATGCTGTGTGCTCTGCCCTTTCAGCTTTCATGTCTCTGTATTTGCACCATTCTCTTTTAGTAGCATCCTTCACAAATCTTTTGAAGCTCATATATAACTATGATTACTCATATAATTATTAATATATGTGTTCATATATTTGTCTTATATTTTTACTTTAGAGATGGTGTTTAACGGTTCACAGACGTTAGGGGAAAAATTTAATTCTAAACCACCCCATGTAGTTATTTTTTAATATTTATGTGAGAAATTCAATAATCATAATAGTAATTCTTACAAAGTATGAAGTTATAAAGGTAGACAATAGTGGATATAAGTGTCATAAAAGGAACATAGTCTTTCCAGTCTGGCCACATTATTTGCTAGCTGTGTATCTAAGGAAAGTTTCTACCATTGTGTGGTTCTTTTGGTTATAAAATTCAAAGGATAATAAGTATATGCAATATGGAGTACCAAACTGTTTAAATGATTTGTGAAGCATGCTGACCACAGTGCTTCAAGCTAGTGCCTCCTCATGGCAAAGTCATACATTATGCTCCTTTTTGCCAGGAAGGCAGTTACTGCATGTTCTTATATAAGAAGAGCTACATAATTTTGCCTGAAAACAAGCCCCGGTAGCAAAGTGGTGAAATGCATGGTTGCTGTCTAGAAGGTCAGAAGAATGTGACAAGCCCCTGTTCCTGCACATGTTCTCAGAAGCCCAATGGGCCAATTATACTCTCTTCTATAGGGTTGCTCTGATTTAGAATCAAATCCATACAAAGGTTTGGGTTTTATTTTTATGTGTAAGAGAGTGTAGGGAGGATTATACCTAAAAGCAAAATTAGTCTCTCTGATCTTATGTGTTCGGTAGTTTCCTGAAAAGCAGGCATCTCTGGTCAAAATACACTGACATCGTAACAGATATTTTCATTTATTTAAGGAATAAGGAGTTAGTTACTGTTCAGTAGACTGGGACTTTTGGAAGTGAAAGAAGTTAGAGACACTAAAAAAGATTTCAGAGATGATATACTGGGCTCTTTCAAAAGCTGAGACAGCGCAGGAAAGCCAAGTATATAGTAATGTATCGTGTGAGCGACTAACTGAATAAAATAAACACATTATTAGAGAAACAGCATTGAGATCATATCTGATCTTTTCTGGCTACACAAGGAAGAAAGCCTCTCTATATCCACATAAAGCCCAGGCCAACTGCCAAAGGGCAGAGGTCAGATATACCTCCCACCTCTGACCTTTTTTACCCTCTTCTGTCACCAACTGCTCCTCCTGTGGCACTCCTTCAGTTCTGGGTTCAACCGTCCATTTCACTGTCCACACAGCGCTCACAGACAACTCACAATCTGGGCTTTTATGGAAGAAGGTAACAGGCGACCACAAACCAGGGTCAGAAAACATCAAGGATGTCATCATCAATCCACAGAGGGACTGCTGTTCATCCAGCTGCCAAATCTCTTTCTGGTCCTCAGCCTCCCAGCCCCATAGCCCTTTGATCTTTGCCTCCGCAGGGCAGGCACCCTGCCCACGGCTCTGCCTCTCAGTCACCTAGCCTCAGGTGTCCTTGCCTCAGCCTGGGTTTCAGCCTGGTTCCGTTGCTCTGCCCCATAGTTTCTTTGACACAGCTTTTGGAGACTCTGGTCTTGGCCTCTACCCCTTCAGACAGAGATCTCAAATGTGCCCCATTTCCAATGGTCATAGGACTGTGTTCCTGCTTCTGAGATGCACCTAGACACAGAGGAATGCCTTTGACTGGAGGTATAGTTTTTGTCTTTCAGCAGACCATATCTTCAAGGAAACAAAGGGTATGATTCATTCATACCTTATACTAAATCTGGATTTAATGGCATTTAGTCCTGTCCATTAGCATAGAATATATCTTCTTCCAAAATGGGTTTATAGCTACAGGCAGATTACAGAATTATAAAATATCACAAAAGGAATTATGGCAAGAAGGGTCATATAACCAATTATATCTCATTAGGTAATTACATACTGCCATGCCTAGACAATATTCTATTACCATATCTCTGACGTCTCTAGAATATGTTCAAAGAGCTGTGGATTAAAAGCAATATTTTTCACCGGTCTTCTAGTAAAACAATTAAATGTTTCTACTCTAGTTGGTAAGCAAAGGTAGATGGAGAATTTTGATAAAAATGACGATTAAAAAAAGCAAAAGGAACTTTATAAATAATAATAATAAAAGATCCCCTTACACTAGTTCAGAAACTAAAGGGAAAAACAAATCAGGATGGATGATCACTGAAGATGTTTTGAGGAAAAAACCAAGTATTTAAAATCATAGGAGGAATTTTACTACAGTAAATTGGAATATTGGAAAATTGTGATTAATTGGGATGCCAAAAGATCTCCTTTGTGGCTTTTTTATTTTGCCTTAATTTTTTTGTCTGAAAAGTCCAAAACTTAATTGAATGGCAGGCTTCGCTCATGCTCACATAACCCCTCATCTCAGCCTAGCTGTTACCTTCAAATGTTTTATTTAAGAAACATTCTTTTCTCCAGTGATATGGTAATTTTTTTTTCAACACTTAAATTTTTTTTTAATGCTTGAAAATTCAGCACCTACATAATCCCAACTAGAGTAAGACCAAGACAAGTAGAATAACAAATAAAACAAACCCAACATAAAAGACTTCTCTGCTCTTGAAATAACATAAGTCGAAAGCCATTCAGACTGCATTCTCTCCCTCTCGCTTCGCATGAGGGCGGAGAAGAACGATCAGCAATGGCAAAGGGCAGCTGCAGTGAGGCTGCGCCAGGAGCCGGCTACACGCTCAGGAGAGAATGCTGCGCCTCCTCCTCCTCGTGGATTTTGGTGCTCTACACGACCAGAGAAACTTCTCTAGTCACACACTATAGAAATGATCCCTGTTTCGGTTGTCTGTCCCCCAGGGAGGAGGTCACATATAGTTCCTTGCAATCGGTTCCGAAAAGTGGGTGAAGGGAGACGTTGGACAGGGCAAGATATGACAAAATACCAATTTATAAACTATCAAGGGTTCATGAGGGAGGGGGGAGCGGGGAGGGAGGGGAAAAATGGGGACCTAATGCCGGGGGTTTAAGTGGAGAGAAAATGTTTTGAGAATGATGTACAAATGCGCTTTACACAATTGATGATGTGTGTATGGATTGCGATAACAGTTGTATGAGCCCCTAATAAACTGTTTAAAAAAAAAAGGAAAAAGAAAATGATCCCTGAAACTGTAGTCTTAGCTTGCAGGCCGCAGCCCCTGCTGGGTCCTCGGACACCGTACACATTACACAATGGTGAGGAAAAACGTCTCCTGTTCTAGTTGATTGTATTCGATTTATAGAAATAGGTTCTTTGACACAATCTTTAAAAACGCTTAAGAACATGTTTTCATCGTTTTACATGAACATGTACAGAAATGTCAAAGCAATATAATCGGGCCATGTTTTAATTAGCATAACACTTAAGAACAGCCAATCACAACCTACATCTTTAAAGGCGCTTTCTCCAGAGGAAAGTAGCCCCGCCCTAAAAGGGAAAGCCAAAGGGTAGGCCAATTGCTAGCAGGCGTCGAATTGCATTATTGTCTTTTTTTTTTTTTAATACTTTCTGAATATCTCATTTATTTTTAAGCACGAAGCATGTAGTACATTTCTTGGCCCAGAGTAGGCACTTAATGAATAAATCATATTCAAATGAATAACTGAATAATTATGATGATCATTTTGCTTCATCAACTGTGCACTGTTTCCAGGCCTTTGTGTATATTCACAAATTCAATGTTCAATCAAACCCCATGAGGCAGGCATTTACTAACCCTATTTTACAGATGAAAAAACAAAGGCTCAGAGAGAAGAAGCAAGATGTCCAGGGTCAATTCCTATATGCTCAGTATTTAGAGAAAGAAAGATGAAAGCCATGGGATCTGATATAACTATCAATATTGTTAACTTTGCTACTTTCTTTTTTTTTTCAAATCAATTTATTGGGGCTCATACAATTCATCACAATACATAGATCAATTGTGTAAAGCACATCTATACATCTGTTGCCCTCATTATTCCCCAAATTCACTTTCCTCTTGGGTTCCTGGAATCAGCTCATTTTCCTTTTTCCCCTCCCCCTC